CTCTCTCTCTCTCTCTCTCTCTCTCTCTCTCTCTCTCTCTCTCTCTCTCTCTCTCTCTCTCTCTCTTAATCTCACCAGAAATCTCACACCCTTCTCTATCTTGCTCTCAGCCTGTGTCCTACCTGACTGCCAGTCTCAGGGGTTTATGGAATTTGCGTAAGAGTTAAAAAAATACCCCTATGTGCTGCCAGAGGCTAAGCCAGCGGCTCTGCTCGTATCCGCCTGTGCACAGCATGAAATGTCTGCCCCTCATTTCTCTCCACCTTTTGCCCTTCCTCTGTCACATTTTTCAGCAAAACTGCTACATTGTCGTTCGCTACCTCTTCATCGGAAAGCCTCTCGAACAAGGGATGTGCATCCAGATTCCTCTTCATCCAATCGCCCAGCTCTTCCACGTCCGTCACCGTATAAAGCAACCCTCCCTCCTTCATCACATAGGCATACTCCGCTAGCAGCCCTTGATTGACGATGCGGCGGCGATGGTTCTTCTCTTTGAAATGAGGATCAGGAAACAGAAAGAACATCTTCGTGAGTTGCCCTTTCCGGAAATAGTTGGGCAGGTACTTCATCGCATTCGTTCTGATCACCGAGATGTTGTCGAACCTTCCCGGATTCTGCACCCTGAGGGCGGCGATCCGCTCCTTCACGTACTCTGTGACCTTGTCCCGAAGCTCCATCCCGACCATTAGCGTGTCCGGAAACATGGGCGACAACTTGACAAGAAGCCCGCCAAATCCGCAGCCAATGTCTGCGAATCGCACAGCAGGTGGAGGCTGACCGTCGGTTCCTACGACGACGACATCTCGCATCCCAGCCTTCGGTTTTGATGCCTCGCCACCTTCGTTGTTGCTCTTCTCCTGGTTCGGTCCTTCTAGGCCAGCTCCCGGTACCTTTGAGAAGAAGGACGGAAAATGTTCCGACCAATCTACCTCCGCCGGAGACAAAGGCACCGGAAACTGGGAATCGCTGAGAGGGTTGCTATGGGCCCGAGCGCGGTACATACGTTTTCGAGGCATCGCCTTCTCGACCGGCATGCCATTCTTATCAACTCCTCCTCCTCCTCCTCCTCCTCCTCCTCCACCTCCACTCCTTGCCGCGAAATCGAAAGACTCTTTGGCCATCTTGCCGTGCGCGACCTGACTTCCTGCTCTCTGAAAAAGTGGATCGCAGCAGCAAGCTCCTGCCCCTAGGGAGTCCTCCGTTCTTTCGCCTTTATAAAACTGCTGCAAGTTCCAAAACTGCAAAGAGAAACTCAAGAAGACTGCAAAACCGCAATATCGATCAGGAATTCGAGCTAATCACAAAGTGGAGCTGGCAGCCGGAGTAAACATGGGCCTAGGTTGTAGACGACTACTCCCTCGCACAGAAGAAGCGAAACAACAGCAACAACAACAACAACAACAACAACAACAACAACAGCAACAGCAACAGCACCAAAAATAAAAAACAAAAATACCGAGCAACAGGAGGCTCGCACCTCCGAGGCCGCCTCGGGAGATAGAAGGTTACATTACCATTATATATTATATAATAATATAAATATAATTAATATAATCGTATAACAATATAATATTGTTTATCAAATTTTCAACTTTTTCTACATGCATGACAATCGAAGAAAAAAGAAAGAAAAAAAAAAAGGCGTGTCTCCTTCACCTCACTGTTAAAAATGCGAGCAAGGGTTCCCAATGGACCCGGTGGTGGCGGTGGTTGGTTTGGGGGGGGGKGGAGGGGAGGGGGTTGAATTCGACAAAGCGTTTGGGGTCTCAAGTTTTCTCAACTCTCTCAACCCATCCAGATAACACTTTGTTGAATTCAACCCCCCCTAGATAAAAGGGGGTTGCATTCAACAAAGCGTTATCTGGATAAAAGGAATCACCCTTGGCCGGATTCGGGTTCAGGTTCGGGGACAAGAACGTAAGCCTTTTATCTAGGGAGAAGGATTCGGCTGCACATTGGTGATTCCTTGGTTCTGTGCCATGCCTCTCTGATCAGAGGGTATGCAACATAAGGTCTGCATTTGGACAAGGTTTCAGGTCTGGTTCGCAATGTAGAGCAGAATCCACTCTGGTCTACTTTTGGACAAGGTTCTTCTGCTTGGATGTACCTGCCGGCCACCGCCACCCATTTCGCGCCGGGCCCGCACCTCCGTGTTAACCGCCACGCTCTTGCTTTTCAAGCGGGCAAAGGTACTGGTGGTTAATTTTTTTTTAAACCCCCAAACCCTGAAGGTAGCAACCCCCCAGATAACTGCGTTGTAAAGGATAAGAGGGGTTGGAAGCCCTTTATTTATTTATGGCTGGTTTGGTGGTGCTTGGGTGCATGCAAAATCTTGGCCCTTGGGATTAGCACCGTCAGTATGTAGGGTTAATTCAGGGTTTAGCCACCCTAGGCTTATAGTTATGGGTTTAAGCCTTCAAAGCTTTAATGACCCCTTCAGAACTATAAGCCTAGGGTGGCTTAAACCCATAATAACTATAAAGCCTTGAAGGCTTAAGCCCATAATAACTATAAGGGGTCATTAAAGCCTTGAAGGTACAAAGCCAGACGAGGACGAATGATGTATAAACGTTGCAGGTCCCTCCTCCCTCTCCTCCCTCTCCTCCCTCTCCTCCCCACAGGTGGTTAACGGGGGGTGTTGTTTTCGACGAATTTTCCACCAAAACTGTCATCATATCGTGGTGATTTTTTCCATATGTGGATCAATAATGAAAAAGTTGGCATTTCGTTGAAGTCGTTGGACGCTTCATTTTAACTCGGAAAGTGTTTTTGTGTTAGGGTTTTAAGGTGTTTTTTTTTTTTTCCCCCTAATTTTGTTCGTTTTCTTTGCCCTGTTTGTTTTTTTGATGTTTGCAACTTTGCACTATGGGCCCATATCGTTTGTTTTTGGAACGTTTTGCCGAATTTTCCACCAAAATTGTCGGCGAAAATAGTGAATTTTTGGGCCTCCCTCCTTCTCCTTTCGTTCCCTCCCTCTCTCCCTCTCTCCCTCCCTCCCTTCCCTCCCTTCCCTCCCTTCCCTCCCTTCCCTCCCTTTCCTGCATCCCTTCGACAGTTGATGGGCTCAGAACATACAACAGCTTGTTCTCCAAAAGGCCCCCTCCAAAAGGCCCTGTTTTTTTATTTAAAGCGTGGCCTGACAGGCCAGGTCCGGGAAAAGAGGGGGCGATTGAAATACTCTTCCTGCTGCGGAGGCAGTCCGACGGGTCCCCTGTGCCTCCCATAGCCATTCCTGTTTTGGCAAGCTTCCGAATGGGGTGGGGTGGGGGGGGGGGGGGAAGGGGGGAGATAGCCATCAAGCGGAAAAGAGAAAGAAGAAAAGAGAAAAACGAAGAAAAGCAAAAGAAAAGAGGGCAAGCATCCCATTGCATCACCGTGTTCCCCGAACACAACGCACCCTGATTAAAGAATGTATGCAAGCTATCTTTCCAGTCCAATACGGTAGTGACGAGGGTGCGTTACGATGGGGGGGGAAGACCATCGTGCCTTGCACACACACTGTTGTACTAAATATGGCCCATCAGGCCTCCAGCAGGGGCCCACAACAACTCAACGTGCAAATCTGCCTGGTAGGTCGCCTGTGTGGGCCGCCAGCAGGGGCCTCGTCAAAATCAGCTGCTGATGAGATGATGGGTCAACGACTCACTGCGCAAGCCCGCCTATTCAGCAACCTCCCTCCCTACCTCCCTCCCCCCCTCCCTCCCTCCCTCTCTTCCTTCCTTCCTTTCTTGCTTGCTTTCTCTTTCTTTTTCTCGTCGTATTCCACATCATGGTTATGACAATGATGATGTTGGAATCACGAACAGGACAGGAAGAATCCGTCCGCATGGTGCTACCTCATCATCATCATCAACATGAAGACATGCCATGTTTTCATATTTCTGTCATCATAAGTTTTTCTTCTTCTTCTTGGCTTTGAGACGATGACCTTCCCCGAGCGGCTACAGCACCCATCCACCTGAAGGACTCTGAGAAACCAGTATTTACTATTTCATAGCTGCAGGGATCTCCACAAGAGGCCTCCATTGTCAGCTTCTTCGAAACGCCCCCCTTGGTATGTGGAACCACCCCCTTGTTGGCTGACAGAGGACCACCAATCAGTTGTCTCCGCCTGGTCGGTGCCCCCTCAGTAGCCGGTAGGCGGGTCGCAACTCTACGAACAGATCATTCCGTAGATGATTGCCATCCTTTCAATGCACAGCAAAAACGAGTAAAACACACACACACACACACACACACACACAGAGAGAGAGAGAGAGAGAGAGAGAGAGAGAGAGAGAGAGAGAGAGAGAGAGAGCAACGAGCGTTGGAAAGCGGCACTCACTTGACACAATAAGGCGGGCAATTTCTTGACTGGGTGAATACACGAGCCGGCCAGCAACTTTCCTTGAAGATCAGCATCAGAGTCAGTGACACGCATAAATCGAGAAATGGTCCAAATTCTGGAAAAAAAAAAAATAAAAAAAAAATCACCTGGGACTACCAGGGACCACCTGGAACAACCTCCTGGGGTCGTCTGGGACCACCTTGGATCGCCTGGGACTACCTGGGACTCCCTCTAATCACCGAATTGGTGCCACATTTGCCAACAATTTTGGTACTCTGGTGGAACTAACGCTGGTACCACCTTTAGATGATCACCATCAGCGTCGCTTAAACTACAAAGTGGCAAAAGTAAACAGTAAATACACACTTAGAACCAATGGGACTACCAGCTCTCAGTTGGTACATCTCTATGGACTGTTAAAATACAGACGTGAGCTCGAATCCATCTCTATGGAACTAGATGAGTCAATTTCTGAATTACCAGGGGCGGATCAATTCTATGATCACATATCAAGGCCGTCGCAATTTTCTTTTCCCAAAAAAAAAAAAAAAAAAAAAAAAAACACGCTTTGATGCACTCGATGACAGACAGCAAGTATTCTTAGTGAGTTAGTGTCCTCCTGCCCTATTGTCCTTCCGATGCTTTCCACAGTCCCCTTTTCCACCTCCCCTTTTTTTCTGAGTGCCCCCCAACGACAATCATTCCTTCGAATGAGTGGGGACCACCACCTTTGTTTCCCCTCTCCCCTCAGTTCGAATGGACCCCGCTTCCTTATTTCCCTCTTTACTCAATCTGCGGTCCTGGTGGTGGTCCCACTCAGCGATCCAAGGGCAGATGACGAGGCAGGGGTCTCTTCCAACATGCCTGACGTTGGATAGGGTCGACGAACATCCTCCACAGTCCGCAGGCGTGCAAAAAAGGCAATTGTGGGGATAGCTATGCACAAGGACATTACAACCCTTGCTCCAAAAGGGGTGAAACGAATAGCAGGACGAGCCATGGTCTATAATCGCCAACTCAGAGAGTTGGGAAGGCCAAACGTCGACCTGCCACACCATCAGAACCACCACAAACGGACATCTGTCAGAGCAGACACCCCTCAGTGCAGCCCGCACTGACATAGGATCTATTTGCATCACGGCAACTGACAACTTAGCACCGACATAGCAAAATGAGACCAGGTTCATCTAGCACAGACATAGCACAGGCATAGAGCACAGGCATAGAGCACAGGCATAATTGAAGGGGAGCAGGGTGTGATGCATAACGCCAAACCAGCTTCGTACTCACAAGCAAAGAGATCATACTCCAGTTTGATGCATAGTCCTGACAGGTATAGACTATTATTACCTCTGAGAGAGCACAGGCATAGCACAGAGGTGTCAGGTAAACAGTGTGTGTGTGTGTGTGTGTGTGTGTGTGTGTGTGTGTGTGTGTGTGTGTGTGTGTGTGTGTGTGTGTGTGTGTGTGTGTGTGG